AACAAAACCACAGTCTGTTCCAGCTTCCACATGCACCCAATTTGTACAATTCAAAAATACATCTGATATCACACCCATGTTTCAACCTTCCAAGACTTTACTTTGGCCTACCTCTAATAGCCATATCATGGGGACCGCCCTAGCCATAGCCTCTGTAACTTGTAGGACAACACCCAGCAAAGAAGATGCTGTTGCTGGGAAGAAAACATCAAGTAACTTCTTATTAGGCGACACAGCTCAAATTCAGCATTGCAGCAAGCCAGCACTAATGGGGCTGATTACATTAGGCCAGACTTCCCATCTGCTCTCTTCACCTTTTTTGTGTTAACTTGCCTACATATGTTCTTCAGCAGCAAAGATCAACTCTTGATGTACTGTATTACTCAGTATCTACAACAGTATAACATCAAAGAGCCATCCAACACAGAGACATCTTTCCTTAGGATTATGTGAGATCCAGTGGAGTCCATGAGGTTTTCACCTTTTCACAGAATAAGTAATGTCATTAGCATTACCCAGAAACCTGGGAGAGGTCATCTTTCACTTGCAGCACAACAGCTCTTCTCTTTTTTAATGCTGAAGCTTCAGATGTGTCAGACCATGCAGAGCCCCTCACTGATTACTTGCTTGACCACAAGAGTGGGGTAACGCCAGTTGTGTGTTGTAGGGACTTCCATAAAAGGAGTAAATGCTAACGATGGTGCAGCTCTGCGTGGTCATTTAGTAACTGGCTTGTTTAAGGAAAGAAATAAGAATATTGAGAACCTGAGCTACTGTGCTCCTCTCCTTATCCTTCCGGCAAATGCAATCATTGCAGGGGGTGTTAGAAATGAGAAAAGGAGCTAATGCACTGTTTTCTCCACCACCCTGTCCTGGTCAGATATTCCTCCTGTCAGTCAGTGAGATTTATGAAAGCCTGTGGCACATGTGCCTTCACAGTCCCTGAAGTTTCCACTCTGCCCTGCACAACTCCAGATGAAAAGGAGCAAGTGAACACACAAATAACCGAAAAAGTTAAGTCACTCTTTTACTCAAGACTGTCTGCATCTTTTGGGCTGAGGAGGTAATGCAAAGCAGATACTTGGCTGTAAGATCCCACAACCTTCATCAGTATTGTTTCCTGAACTGCCTACCATCTCCCCAGTGCAACTGATAGGAATATTAGAACCTGCTAATGAAAACGAGCACCTACAGGATGAATCTTAGTTTTCTTACCTTAGCACCTCTCTAATGCCCACAGTGAGATCAGGGAGTGCCTGAAATCTGCAGTTGAATCAAACCCATTATATGAATTGACAAAAGGGTCAGCTAGGAACAGTGAAAACTAATTAGCTCTGGTCTGTCAAGAGCATCTGCATGATGAGACAAGCCAGAAACCATCGTGTGAAGTTTGAAGCAAAAGTCAGAGCTGAGAATTACCTAAGTGCTGAGGAGCCCACAAAAGTGGTGGAGTGACACCAGGTGTATTAAAAGGGTTAATTGGCCCATCGAGGAGGAGTGAGGTGTTTTTTTCTGCTTTAATTTTGTCTCTGTTTGTAAACAGGTACAATGGTTGCTCAGATCCATCAGCATTTGCTACCTACGGGCGAAGGTGTAGCACTACCTCTCAAGATAAGCCAAGACTCCCTCCCACACATCCCACGGGTCTCAAGATGCACATTTAAAAACAACATAGGATCAAGTTGGTATATGCAGTAGCGAGGAACCTCAGTGGAAGTACATAGGAAGTTGCATTCCCTGAAGCAATGATTTGGCAAGTCAAAGAAAATTATAAGAGCTCTAATGGCCTGGCATGACACTTGCAATGAATTGAGAGAAAATCAAGGAAAGTGAACTTGCTTTATCTAAGCAGAGGTGAACAGAAACTTGAGCAGACTGATAACCATATGTAGTTAGAAAGGAAGCCAGCATGCTGGCAGAAAAAGCAAGTCCTAGAACCTGCAGCACTTGGTTGGTAAGTAGATCCTTGTTCCTTGATTTGGTATTTGGCAATGACAATCACAAAAATTGTCAGTCTTCCACTGGTATCTCAAACCTAATGGCACCTGTACCAGCTGCTCCATTTTCCAGGGAAAATGCTGGGATATTGCTAAGATGAGCTGAGCTAAACTATGTCGTTTTCTAATTCTCATCAGCACACAATAGTATATGTAGCTATTTTAGTTTTCTGATGCTTCAAATACTTAAAAAATGAAACACTAAGTTTCAAATGAATGTGACCCAATGAATCGCAAGGAATTGGGATTATATTGTCGCATATAGTTTTTCCTGGGAGACTCCAACTTCTTTGTGAGCATAGGCAGATTGCTGCTGCTCACTCAACAAAGGACTTTTTGATGTTATTCTGCCTTCAGTGTTCAACTGCAAATGGCTTACTGTACTTCAATTTGCTTAAAGAATGCACACAAAGCCACAAGAGTAGCTGGGAAATTTCTGACAGAAAAAGTTCCTTTTCTTCAGCTACTGGCCCCAACCCTTGTTTGCCAGTAATTTACAAAAGAATCTGGAGATGCTTCTCATTGTTTCCAGGATTTGTCTTGCATCTTAAATTAGGATCCCTCTACACATAGTAAAAGGTCATGCCTTTCAAAAGGTGCACATAACCTAAATAGAGAAGATGGACAAAATATCTGGGAGAACATTTTTTTTTTTAAATACAAGTTCTGAGGTAAACAGAGCGACAGAGTGCTCAGGTGATCTGCCTACACGTACATAGGATGTCCATACTTTGAGCTAAAAACAAAACCCCTCACATCTTGATCCCTACTCAAGTGATGTATGTTTTGGTGTTAGGAAAATTAGGAATTTCTTAAATGTCTGCATCTCACTCCACAGGATTTTTTGTGAAATCCTGCTGGAAGATGGAGGATGAGGTCACAACATTTAACTATTTTCTGAGAGAATACTGTCATCTTATTTCATGCAATCCTTTTGCATAACATGGTGAATCATGATTCTTATCATTCCATTTCCATTCTAGATCAAAGGTGATACTAAAAGAAATTAAAACAGCACTTCAAAGGAATGGTGGTAAGGTCATGCTGTTTCACAGCTGTGAAACAGCACTGACCTTCTTTGCTGTCCTCTGATATTTTTTCTAATCTTTGCAATTCAGTATTACAGACCACGTGAACCAAATATTTCTCTCCATTAGGATGGATAATTGACAACTGTAATATCTGTGTTCTTAAAACTCCAAAGTCAGTGAAATATACAGAGATGGTGATAAGTCTTTGAGAATACTTTTCCATTGAAGACAAAATTAAAAACAAGTGGGAACATTTGTGATTAAAGTGTTGCCATCTCTGAATTATCCAGTGGAAGTCAAATAGCACTTGGAGAAAAACAAGAAGGCACCCCACCTAGTCCTTAGCCTTCCTCAAAGTCTCTCTGATGACCTCCTCCTTGGCAGGAGGACCCTTAGTCCTGGATTGCACCAGCTTTGCGCTGAAACTAACATATTTTGGAGTACCAAAGATAAAGAATAGACCTTGCTCTGTGCAAACATAATTGTAAATTACATTTTATACTTATGGATTGTGGGGAAAAAAAAAAAAAGGTTAAAAATCAGGAATACAGAAGAGTGAGGTAACATTATATGAGACACTGGGCAGTGGAGAGGCTGTGGTATCAGTGAACCTCAGCGCAACTCCCCCAGAAACAAAGAAAAGGCACAGCATGATAAGAAAGAAAAGTATAATAAACTGATACACAAGGCTGCAGTTATTAGCAACCTGCCAGGTTCATGAGGCACACACAGAAATGTCAGAAGAAAATTATGCAGAGAAAAAATATTGTGGAAATGGAGCAGCCACTAAGGGTGAGTGCCAGGTAAATACCACACCTTTTCAGAACACTTTGCATGTAAGCCGTAACATGCATACTACATACTATGGTCCCCTGTTATACAACTTTCAGTGTATGACCAGAGTCAGAAACATCCATAACAATGTGGCGGATGTTATGATGCTCAGGACATGCAAATTATACAACTCCACTGAACTTCTGGTATGTGCTGTAAGGAATCCCAACAAGCAGTTAAGAGTGACAGAGTAAGGATTTCAGCCCTGTATTCTACATATTTCTTATTGATATGTGATACAAACACCTATGTATTAAAAAAGGTGTGAAGAAGTTTTCACATCTCTGAAATAGTCAACACACCAGGAAATGATGTATGAGGGCTGCTTTGAAAGCAGTGCCTCCTATTTTATTATGTTGGCTCAGGACTTCAGAGGCAGTTGTTGGTGGTACAGCAGTAGAGGCTGAACCTTCTTGCCTGTAGTCCACTGCAGTGAACAGATGACAGCAGAGGGGCAGTCTGATAAAATACTGTCTGACATGGAAGAGTGTATGAAGCAAAGGCGTGTCACTGAATCCCTCCATGCAGAAAAAAATTGGCACCACTGATATTCATTGATGCTTGCTGAACATTTGTGGAAACCAAACAGTGGACATGAGCACAGAGAGACAGTGGGTGATGCATTTCAGCAGTGGTGACAGTGATATGAAAGACAAGCCACATTGTAGATGGGCATGCACAGCTGTCATCCCAGCCTGTGCAGATTTTTATGAACGCAACATGCAGGCTCTCGTTCATTTTTGGTGGCGTTCATCTAATAGTAGTGACTATGTTGAAAAATAGTGTACGGTAGCTGAGAACCTGCTCTATCAAATAATGTTATCGTGCCCTTTAAATCTGTTGCAGTTTCCAAGGAAATAAATAGGAGGCATTACTTTTGGAGCAACCTACATATTAGTTTTACTCATACCCAAACTGGCACTACTGACCTGTTGCCAAATTTATTTATTTATTAAAAAAAAAAAAAAAAAAAGAAACAACTGAAATTGGAAACAGATATACTACAAAAGAATTTGGATTTAATATGTATTCTTAGCATGTATGACTTCTGTGTTTTGTATTTGTATAGTGCTAGTGCTAGTGGGAATCCAGTAATTTTAGAACTGTATAATGTCAGTAAGAAAAATCTGATACTTACAGAAGTCTGCCTGATGAGCATTTGTCATCTTTATGATTCTGACAGTGAGCAGGGAGTAAGCTGATATTTCTTCCTGCTGGGAAAAAAAAAAATAAAATAAAATAAAATTAACAAAGGAGATGAGCTTTAAAATTTGGGTATATGTATTGTAATGACAATCAAACAGTGAAAGAATCCAGATTCTGCTGAAGCCATCTCTTAAAATTGTAATTTTTACAACAATACAGTAAGTAAGAAAGTACACTTTCTTCACCAGTCACTGGTCTGCAATCACCTAAGCATCCATACAGAAAGTGTAGAAGAAAATGATGGATGGGAAAGTAGAGGTAGAGGGTAAATTACCCTCAGACAGATTTCAAGGAGGAGTTTAGGTCATAGAGGAAGGCAAACAGATGAGTAATTCTTAGTAAAGTCACTTAAAAAAAAACCAATAAGAACAGGGAGCTAATGAATTAATGAAAGTTAATGACTAGAAGTTTGAAAAGATTATCTAAAGTAAAAATGGAGGAGTGCTGGTAGAAGATGATGAAATAATTGTTATCTATTTTCTGATAAACCTTGATTAAAACAACAGGGAGAAAGTACAAAGTGAAATAAGAGAAAACTCATTGACTACTGCTACTGTGATTAAAGGCAAAGACTGCTAAGAAGGTCAAGGTATAAGAAATCAGTGATACTAGACAACACATCAGCTGAAGTGTGTAAAGCATGGGACCATGAAGAATTCATCATAATAAAATTCAACTTAATCTCCCAAATTGTTTCTATCTCTATAAAGGAAATGAAGGTCATTTAAAAAAAAAAAAAAAAAAAAAAAAAAAAAAAGCACAGCAATAGTCAAGCTACAAAGTTATTCTATGAAATGGCAAGCATGATTTAAAAAAAAATCTTGATAATTTGATGAATTTTATACAAATGCTAACCAGTGCCTAAAATAACCATAAAGCTTTGCCCATGAGCTTATGCTTATAGCCAGGAAGCAAGATTTCAGAAGGTTTTCAGTAAACTGACTTTTTAAAATTCTAATACTTTTTGCTGAGGTGCAGAATCAGCACGCTCACAGCAACAAGAGGGAAATGAAGCTCTGAACAAACACATTTTCTGTAACAGGCTACAAGAAGTAGAAGATGCATGTGCGCTTACTTAGCTTCTGGATGGATGTATACTAAAACTAAATAGAAAATTACCAACTTGTCACTTTATAGGACGGTTTGTTTTAAAGCAGGGAGGTAAGATCTCAGTATTATTGGAATCTGTGTTGTGCCAGCTCCACACGGCTGCCTCCACCACTACGGCAGACCACTCCTTTGCCATCCTTTGTCATCAGCATGGAAAACCTGTGACATCTTACCTAAACCTGCTTTGTTTTTAAAGAAACCCACTGACTAATTGGGTTTGTCTGGTCCATATCCTTCTCAAAAATAGTCTTCAAATTAAAAAAACTCAAAACAACAGCAAATATATTTCAGGAGAAATGAAGGAACGAGTGAAAGGAAATCATTTCTCTAGTGAAAACTTGTGGCACCAGTACTTCAATCAGCATTCTAGAGCCTGTGTTTTCAAATGCTGTTAGAGGTGCACGTACACTACTAGGATTTGTTAAGAGTACAGTAACAAAAACTAGTGTGAGCTGTGCAAAGACACATCTACATCAAGCACCAGTCATACGCTCATTCCTGAATGCCACTGCAGTGGAGCAGAATAGAGGATACAAGAAGAATGCCTGGCAGGGACCTTGTATTGTGAATACAAATGAAGATAGACTGATAAGAGAGCCAGCACATGGGAGGTTTATATTAAGAAGAAAACAAAACAATAAAACTTATATGGTATTTTGTTGAAGAACAGTCAGATCTACATAGATCAGATAGTGTCATAGATTATGCAAGTGTTTAAACATCTTATTTCATATGGAGCTGTTCCCTGGGAGGAGAGCTCTGGATTGGTGCTGCATAAGAGAAAAGCCAATGAGCTGTGCTGGGAAATACAGTTTATAGGAGTCAGGTGGTCCTCATCACAGAAAATTCTGCTGTATTGGCTGAGAAATCTCAGTCCTATGAGACAGCAAGGCACAGGTTTTGTCAGTCAGAGCATACCCAAAATACAATCAATGGAACAAAGACCTCAAGAAGCAGGTAGAAAAAAGAAATCCAAGGAATTAACAAGATGAAAGAGCTAGTGACATGAACCTGGAAGAAGCAATCAATTATGCTGGTGGTAGAGGACATGGAGGACAAGTCAAGTGGAGGGAAAGATGATGATTGAGTTTTCCTTAATTTGAGCCTTGCTCTTTGAGTCTATTCACTAGATAAACAAAATCCCTTCCTGTTCTAGCCTGTCCCATAGAACAATGATTACTTTAAATTTGAAGGAATAATGAAAGCCTTAGTATTTGTATTCTATATTTCTACCAGTAAGAAAAGGATTTTCACAGCTCTCAGTCTGTTCTATGTGTAACACTCAGGTCCATATCTCTCAAATCAGTGTCTTTCATGGAAAAGCAAGAACAGAAAAAACAGCAGTTCTAGGGCACATCTTCACTCCTCTCCTCAGGGCATTAAAGGAGGAGCAATATTCAGTGATCTTCGTCATCATCATAATTTTAAAAACACCAATATCTCTGGAGAGAACTGCTAACTATTAAGCTATAAATTACTAAATAAATCTGAGACAAACAAAAGGGGGACCTATCTTCCTTATAGATGAAAGTTAATGAAAAATTACTCCACATAATACTTTTCTGTTGGCCAAATGCCAGACAGAAATGCTGCTCCAGAAAACTCCAAGAGCAAAACATCTTATAACTGAAGCTCAAGATCCTGATACTTCAATGGAAATCACGCAACTAATCCACTTTTCCCTCTAGTCATCAGTTCATTGTGATAATGCAACAGCAATGCCAACAAACTACATGAGAAGCATGTTACTACTGATGAGGATCATTTTTGTTAAATTAAAAGGGAAAAAAAAGAGATTCATTCAGGGAGTTCGTAATGTGATCAACTATCCATGAGTGACTAATTATCATAAACAGCCATCTTCTGTACAACATTTCATATTAAGCCAAGAATATTCCTGATATGTAGGCTGAAGAAAGTGTTAACCAAAGTCTGAGTATCCACAGTCACAGATGGGCAAATCCTCTTGCAGTCTTCTCTAATAAAGATAAATCTGCGTACACTAAATCTTTGAACCCATCCTTGCAAAGAGATGGTGATGGGCAGATGGTGCAGCCTTCCTTAAAGACTTATTGCTACCTATGGAAGAGGTAAGGTTTTTTTCAAATGGATAGACAATGGGGGTCTTGAAAATAATGTCATAATTACTTTTATATTTTTGTAGCAAACCATTAAGGGATGCACACCACTTTATGAGTATCACATAAGTTAAAAAGCGATGAATATTCTCCTAATTCTTTTTGATTTATGATTTAATGTCTGGCAGAATAACTTAGTCATGCTCCCTGTTCACTGCTAATACTTGAGCTGAGATTATGTTTGCCTGCATTATTCTTTAAATTTTCAGTGCATTTACAGAAGATGAGCCAACAACTAAGTTTTTTTAGTCTGGTAATTTGTCATTTAATTGTTGCATTTTTTGAATGAACTACACTGTAAATGTATGAGAAAGACAATTCACTAACAGATCATAGTGATAAATTTGCTAGATTTGCTGTTATTATGGACTGGCTTACTCATACTTATTTATGATCTTTTCAGCATGTTTCACCTTTCCTGTATTCATGACTAAGGTGCTAGAAGGCAAACTGACAACTCAGGACTCCCAGAAACGGGCAAAGAGTTATACTCTAGTTGTTCTCATCCATTTTAAAAGCTGAAGGGGCAGGTTTATAAAGTTGATACTTTTTCCAGATAATTTAGCAGTGGGAATTTTTGACTTTGCACTTCAGATAGGTGACACAGCAAACCTCCATGCAGCAGCCCATGGGCATGATTTTCTAATCCCTGTCCAGTATATATTCAATTCATCACACAGTTACACAAAGTCCTCTGAAAATAAAGCAAATAATTGGGCAAATATTTGAGCATTAACATTAAGAAAAGTATGTTGTCCTTTGTAATAGCTTTCTACTTATCCTCTATAGCTATCTACTTATCATCTTCCTCTCCTAGATGGCAAACTATGGGTTACAAAGATCAAGGGAATGGCTGAAAGCTGCCTAGGAAACCCAATACTTAAGAAGCAGAAATTGGGCAGTTCACACAAGCCTTTAATGCCAATTTTCTGCTAAGCTTTATTACAGAGGAGAGAAGACATGTTCAAGAGCCAGAAGGCAAATAGAGTGACTTGAGAACACCTTTCTTGTTAAACACTTTTGGAGTGCAAAAGAGAACTTTCGATGGATTTGATAAGAAGAAACTATGACAAGGACTATGAATTAAAGCATTAGAAAGGAACCCCCATGTCCCCTATATGCAGGGGCTTATGGCCATACAATTTCATTTTAACATTGCTTTACATAGATTCAGAAATGTGCTAAATTCTAACAATCTTTATACACATGTATAACTACATTAGTGCTACAATAGAGTGGGATGCCTTTAGCCAGGAGCCTTTCAAACCAAAAAAGCCACTAAAGAAATGCTACCACTATTGGGCCATTGCACTGCTCAATAGATCCTTTTCCTGCTTTAGAGCATTCCCTTTCTGAGCTTTAATATATGTAAATACACAGAAAGTCTCAACAATTCAGTTTTGTTTATGCTACTTTGTCATTTATGTTGAATTTGACACCATAGTGATAGTTAGACACCATTTTTATACTCTAATTTCCACCTATAGGAAATGTCAAAATGCTACTAGCAAGAGAGGCTTCAATCGTTTTATGATACACCTGAAGAAAAACAAAGCAATGCTTATAGTTTTTTATTGATCTGGAGTTCTGATCACACAAACAAGAATTAAATATACTGGTTTCCTACGAGAAGGCATTGAATATCACCCCACTTATGATATCATCAAACAAAAGCTAGCATTTTGTTTGGAACCATCCTGTTTTACTTTGAAACAACTTGGCAAAAGTACAGCCAGCTACAAGCTAATCAAAGGGAGGAAAATCATCACTGATACAACTGGCCTATGTTCAGTGCGAATACAACTCTTGTCACTGGCCTAAGATTGCTAGAGATGTTCTCCTTTTGTTGCAGCATGCACAGTGTACAAAACGAGCCCAAGCCTATCACCATCAGCTACATTCTGACTTGCTGACACAGGCAACATTCTCCATTCATTCAGATCTAAAACTCTATTAAAATAAATAGAGATGGACAGCATTAAAAGAAGCCAAACTCAGTCCTGTTTTCACAGCAAATTAAGTACATTTCCCATAAGAAATTTCAGTAAGGAATAAAAACTTTAAAAACTTCGTATAAATGAATAAAATAATAGAATGAAAAAAGAAAAAGAAAACCAACAAAGGAATACAGATGTTTCACGTAAAGAAAGTTTTCTCCTATGAAATGTCTTTTTCTAAGTAAGCATATAAAACTCAGAAGACAATAAAGGAAAAAAGAAGGTCATGACCTTCTCATGTGTGGTTTTGTCCCACACATAATTTGTTTGTTCTGGTTGGTACCTCAGCATCAACATAGCTCTGCTCTGTGTCCTGCACCATCCATTTTTGTCCTTCATTTTGCAATGGGCTTGATTTGCTGCTGGGATGCTGTTGAGAGAAGGAGGACAAAGGATGAAAAAGAGAGCAAAGATCAGTTTTTTTCCTTCTTCTTTCAGCTTCTCAGTGTTGAATTGCAATGTGTAATGGGCAATTTGTGCTGCCTAATTGTTTGCATCACCTTTGGAAAGGAGGAACGTACCAGGAAAGTGGCAGCTGTTCCTGCTCTGTATGGAAAGCTATTGACTCCACACTGCTGCAAATATCCAAGGAAGAGTATCTTCTTTTCTTGAAGATTTATAACCTATGGATTTGGGTGGACTTGAGCTGTCTCTATTCTGGGGACAAATCTGAATCAAACTCTCAGAGTCACCTGCCAGCTTCATTCTGTTTTCCACTTACCTGAGATAAGGCAGATGTTGATGCCATCGAGATCACTGCTGCATTGAAAATGGGTGCTGCAAATGGCACCCTAATATTAGGTTCCACAGTTGCCAGTGTCTTCTGAAACATATTTACAGTCTTGAAGAGTGTCAGAAGTTGCTGAACAGGTGTTTTATTACCTTGAGTCAGAGCTCCACCCCTCCATGATTTCTGAAGCAGGAAAATTTCCCAACCCACATTACTTGTCCTAAGAGTAAGTCTGTTGTAAGGTGCGGACATACATCTGCAGCTCTTGTGACTGAACAGAGCCTGATAAGACCAAGGCATTTTTACCTGGGGGCCTGCAAACTTGTACTAAAAGCATTAATCTGATTGATGATGACCTTGTGGCATGTGAGAGAACACCTTACAGTAATAATCTAAAAGTGATTACAGTACCATCCTAAGAGACACATCTGCCTACTGTCTTCATGCAAAGCCCCAGACAAATTCTATGCACCACCTCTTTCATAAGTGTCATGGTGGGAGAGGAGTCCACCAAAGGCAGGAATCTCTTTGGATTAAAAAATGCTAAGGAACTTCTTGATTGCCAATATATTTCACATAGCAACTTGTTTTTTAAAGATTTACACAAATGATCACCAGTGAGCTGTTGATTCCTGTTACCAAACTACCTACAAGGCACAGGATGAAGTTCTAGCGACAGATCCTTTAGAAAGACTTGCCCTCTCAACCCACTTGAATTAAGCACTGTTTTTCTTCCTTGTTCCTCACACATCTCTCCCATATTACACAGTTCCAATCTTTTGCCCCTCCTTTACCCAACAGAGGTTCCTCATTCCCTCTGGGATAGGGCAGAGAGGAACTAACCAGGAGGAACAGATTCAGTCTGTGATCCTGTGGATTGAAGCTGAGGTGAAATGCAGACCTGGGGAGGTACAGAGCTCTGGAAGACACAAGAAAGAACGTGTTATGAGAACATATACACTTAAGGACAGTGTGGGAAAGCACAGTCCTCAGGACATGAACTGGAGGAGACAGGAAAGATCGTCACAGAAACTGTGTGTGTAGGAAGGTACTAGGAATTTTTTGGAAGGAACATTTTTCCACTAACGAGCATTACTGCATCATTATTTCTGAACATGGTATTTTTTTGGTGGGCCTTTTTTTTGGGTGTGATATTTTTAGGGGGGGTTGGTTGGTTGTTTCTTATAGTAGTCCACTTTGAAAGAACGGAGAAGTTTGATAAGCCTAAATCCCTAAAACATAATGTATCACATTTCCATTTCAAATGCCTCTTATATCTGCTTTTCACACTTAATACAAAATGCATCTAAGAAAATGTAAATGAGATTTAAATATTTCACCTTGAAAAGCATTGAAACATTTTAAAAAACTCAAGCAATTAAGGAAAGCTGGTTGCTGTATTTTTGTTTTGTTCAGTATTGTCATTTCCTTTTGAAACAAAGAAATAAATGTTCAGATTTCTGAGCAAATGCATTCAAATCAGCATCCAGCTGAGCACTGTTAGAATTTTAGAGCTTAATGGACTCAACTTCTTCATTTTATCAACCTCATGTTTAGTGAGGATCTACATCTGTTAAGCACACCTCGAGGAAGCTTAGTGATTAAATTTTCTAATCCATTATGCAAGCGTCATTAGGCATACATGCATTTGTATTGAAAATCCTCCCAAATGATTAAAATTAGAGCTTATGAAAGGATTTGAGATTAATAGGGTGACAAAGCATGATGCTTCCTGTTAGACACTGGCATAAGGATGAAATCACAGTCATTCCTGACAGTCATAATGAGTGTTGTACAAGAACCTGGCTGACAGAAACTAGACACAAACCCAGTCACTTCCATTGGTCTCGTTGCATTAACTTCCTATACGCACAAAAGAATTAGATGAAAAGCTGGTGTTACAAGGAGAACAAGTTAAGATATTCCATATAGATATTTTGCAGTATTCCATAGTTGCAAAAATTGATTTCTTAGGTACAATTTATCATTCCACTTTTGATATGTGTTTATGTATTTTTATTAAATAATCATTTTAAAGATATTCTTAATTATTTTTTTTTTAATCACGTCATTCAGGGGAAAGGTTTGCTATGAACTTCCTTTCTCACCTTCATCATATTGAAACATTCTAATGCAATGGGAACTGCTTGATTGAAACCAGATAAACTACAGTTATAAACAAAGTACAGTCATAAGCTGTTCCATGGAAGCTTTCCAAAGCAGTGGTCAAAAGCCTCTCCCACTCTTTGGCTCAAGCTTTGTGCAGTACAAGCACATACATACCTCTAATAAGCAAATGAATGAATTTCTGCCTTACTTTTCCCCTGTAAGAATGATGGCCAGAGACAGTTTGGAGAATTGGAGAAAAACAAATGTGCATACAAAAGCGCACTTTAAAAAATGTATTTATTTGTTCTACTACAGCCTATCTGTATTCCTGATTGAAGAGCACAGCAGAACTGCACTATCTGGATGGAAGTACTGTGATGTTAGTGAAAATTTCTCAATTGTGCCCAGCATAGATTATTATGACCAGGTCTTGTTTCTGCAATATGTGGTAGCAAATGGGTGAGGCTTTTGCTTGAGAGCTGGTTTACATTTACGTGAGTCAGATTGCACCTTTGGTTTTTAAGACAAAAGGAAATGAGAAGGGGAAAAACCTCCAGCATCCCATAGGAACGTGAGTAAGGGATGCTTGTTGACTAACTCTTCTTTCCTGACTCAGGCCTTCCGATATGAAATACCTGTTTTTTAAGCTCACGTCAGATGCAGCCAAACATGCCTTTGACTCAAAGATGGTGCTAGTATCGGATTTCTCAAATTAGTTCAAAGTTCAAACTTCTTTTCACTATGAAGGACAAATCCTTTGGAGGCAAAGATGGCCTTCTCACAGGACACACATTGAGAATAGGCTCTACCTCACCTAAGTGCAGTCATCTAAAGATAGACTTCTAATCTGAGCCGATTGTCTGGGTTTTCTATGCTCTGAATGAAAAATAAAGCAGGCATCTCCAGATGGTGACCCACCTACATGGGTCACATCTCTCTCTTTTGACTGGAGAAGCCTCATTGCTCAAGTTGTACATAACACCTAACTTCTGAATAGCTAAAGGTTTCCAAAGCTACTGGTGCTGAGGGAATCTGATGCCGAGGAGCTCTGGTTGTGTTGTTAACACATAACTCAGAGTGTTGCAATGTGAAGCTGCAAAACACCCTTGGGCAAAAGCTCTATTGGCATGTAAATGAAAAATCTTTTCATAAATTCACTTGATAATAAAGAATAGGTTGGCGATACTCATTGTAGCAGAAAATGCTAAAAGCAATGCTTCCTCTGCAAAACCACTATGTTTCTTGAGTACAAACTGCCTTCCATATTTCAGCCTAAGGCTCCCTGTGACCATGAACAGGACAGCCTCTCAGATACTGTCCCCATCTCATCTCAGAGATAATTCTGATGATAGTTAAGCACAAGCTGTGCAGCAGCAGCTCATGGCCAGAAATATTGAGAATGGATTGTGAAGTTTGTTTATCTGTAGCAACCCAGACTGCAGCCTGAGGAAGTTCAACAGCTGCTCCATCACCACTTGAGACATGACTGGAGCGATTGTAGAATTACAAAGGGAAGTGCAGAAAGGAGTGCTTAAACTACCCAAAGGTAAAGCACTCACCACTTTTCAGGCAGAGTTCCAGGAGTCAGGTGACTGACTTAGTGCAGCTGGAGGAGTGGAAGGATCATGCTCTTAGATAGCTACACTCATGGCAGTCCCAAGGGCCTGTTCATCAGCTGGTGAACTTGTGAGATGCAGCATTGCTCTGCCTCAAAGTAACTGTCATTTGAAGCTTTCTCCTGTAACATAATTTTTTCCTTTTTCCTGAATAGTCTGATGGTGTCTAGGATTATCAGCCCAATTTAAAACTACAACCAATGACTGAGCTAGGTCAATTTTAGCATTACTGCTCAAAGATGTGAATTGAATCAGAGTTAATTATTCAAATATTATTAAAACCACGGCAAAAGGGCAAATAAAAAATCTGTTAGATCTATTCGTTTTCTTTTGACCTTCCTTAGTCATTCTCCCAATAACCTTCATCCTTTTTCCCATCCTTTCCAGCTCCTCTGCAGCTCACACGCTTCCCTTGTCTCATCTCTATTTGTTCTTTTGTATCATACCCTAGCAATGTCAGTAGCCCCTCTTGTTCCCCTCAGATTTCCCAAAAAAAACTTTCTGAACAAAGAAGAAAGGGAAGGTTTAGCTTCTCTGAAAGTTCTTCTTTTTGACTCCTGATGATTATCTTCACTAGAAACAGCCATTTTCTACTCCCTCAGGATACAGGAAGGGACAGCTCCCATTCTTAGCAGTATGAACCTTCAGGCATGACAAAATTATTAATATATGGTGGCCAGTCTTAAAAAAAAAAGCAAAAATATTCAAGTTAATGTCAAAAGTCAAGACATTACAGAAACCTCTGTGTAGCAATGCCAAATACCATTAATGACAGTCAGGTTCTGACAGAGCTGTGAAACTGCCTAATGCACACTATTGCTCCTGGTGACCCATATATCCATTATTTAATAAAATACATTTCTCTCTGTAAGAATATATAAGTATATGTACACATACTTATCCACAATATGATTTCATAAGGAGATAAAAAGAAATGACCTGAGAGTATTTGGACAGTTAATTTAGATCTCTGGAAAAAGGAATTTTTCCATCCACTAGGAATATTATCCTTTTAGGAGAGCTCTGTATGATCTTCTTTAGATGAATGTGGGTTACAGACATTTATTTTTTATATCTTATCAACTTTCCCAAACTCAGAAAAACAAAACAAAACAAACAAACAAACAAAAAAAACCCAAATATTTCATAAATAGATTGAAAAGTTCTTAACATTCTCAATAAACACTTGTAGAAAATCAGGTTTGCAACATCCTTGAAAATCTGCTTTTTGGTATGGAAAAAGCAATTTCTTCTCTGGTATATCTGACTGGTAGGAGACCTGTGCATATACAGAAAATTCTTAAATTAGCTTGTCTTCTTGTAAGACATATGCTATGTATGATTCTGATCCTTACCAGTGTCACCACAGTCTCTCTTTAAAAGAGATTAGAACAGCTAAAGCAATTTACGGTGAAATAACTGGCTTCTAAACATTTCCAGCTGTGTTACGTTCATTGTATCTCAACATCCTAATAGTGGCTCAGCACTGAGTGAGGATCCAAATAAAGCCAGTGAGCATTGGTGGGGATATGCCTTTGAGTCTCCTCCTCTTGAAGACAATACATACTATTGTTAACTTTTTATTGCCAGCCATCACTTCAGTTAGCTCCAGAAAGTAAAGTACATTTACAAGAACCTAGTCCATGCATAAAACTGTTGATTATCAGTGTCATTTGCTGAGTATGTAGAGAGAAACATGTTTTTCCATGAGGATACTAGTTTGAGAATCCTAGGCTGAATCACAGTTTTCAATGCAAGTGACAGATTGCCACTAATTCAGGCATTTTCTCAAAGCCATTGCTCAGCAGGAATGCATTTACTTCCTCAGCACAACAGCTTTCTCACCCCAGAGCAATGTAGGCAGTATTTAAGAGACATCAGGAGATAACTTTTGTCAACATGGCAAAGGCTTAAGCTTTGGTATAGTAAAATTTCTAAACCTTTTCCTAATTTGATATGTTTCAGAAGAAGATAGGACAGTGCACTGTGAGATCAGAGCCTACATCTTATGCAGTACTACAAAGGAATGAAATCTCTCCTAAGGAACCAAGTGGAGAGAAAAAGGCCAAGAGATTCTGCTATAAAATACTCAACTCCCTCCTCCCCTGGCTGTCAGTCCTAGGCACAGCCTAGGAGAAAACACAAGATATGGTAAAATAATTTCCTAAAAATTAGGAAAGTCATAGTTGAGGCAAGGATGCTAAGCTCTGGTTTATTTCCTGTCCCACCTGCAGGCTAAAGAGGAAAAGGAAGCATTGGATTTGATGATGTACTTACTACAGCCCACCTTGTAGTGCTGAAATTCCCAGTCCTCTTTCCTGTAGGATAATAGGCTGGCTGTTGCAGAAGCTCTCTCCTGTATCTCTTCACATGTGCAGAAGCCATTTTTCCATTCCCATGTTGACTTCAAGCACTGTGACCCATTGTGCAATCTGAAGATGAGTGCCTGACAGAGTAACTTGCCCTATATACAGTATGTTGTGACCAATAGCATGGAGCGCTATCCTTTCCAGGGCATCTGGTAGGTGATGTAAGCAGTATTTAACATGCTCAGGCTCTGGTGGGAGTTACACGGACACTCCACCTGCATTTTTTGCCATCCATCATCCATGCCTTGTGCCAGCTGCCCATGGGATGTGCTCTCAGTGATGCTACATGTGTAATACCACAGAGCTGTTAATAGAATAAAGCCTTTTCTCAGGATCTTCCAAAAGACTCCAAAATTGGCTGTGGAGCCAAACATGAGAGAATTTGGAGTGGATATGCAAAGGAGTCCTGCTGTCATTCTACATGTTCCTGCTGAACAAAATACAAACCTTTGCAGGAATCTAGTGTGGCCACTTAGTTACAAAAAGTGCTGATCACAAAGATCAGACTACGTTAACAGCTCCAGTCTGGAAAGACTTTAAAGAAATAATTGCACAACATCTTAGGGAAGTGTTTGAGAAATGTGTAAGGAAAGAAACATGCTCCAGGAGATTGAGATAGGTAACTATGTAAGTACATCCTATTACACGCTAACTTAAATTGTCATTGCAAAATGAATTTGTGCTAAAACTTACCAACATCAAAGACAAGCATGAGTCTCAGATCAAGAAAACACAAATTAAAGAAAGACAAATTGGCAGGGGCAAGCATTGCTGAATCTCCATTGTAATAAATGTAGGGGAGCGACATGTTACTAAAGCATGTGGATGTTTCTCTGAACAGCTATTGCATGAAGCTCTCTTGTGCTTTTGACCCTATGTGGTGTAATGCCTGAAACCTACTCAATTAGATCACGTTAGAGAGATATGAGGGGAAAGGAAAACAGGTTATTTCTTACATATCTGCAAATACAGGACAACAGCAAATTTAGACAAGCTGTTGACAAAAAAAAAACACACCGGTGTAATTGATTGCTTTGGAAGCTCAGCATTCCACCTTCATGCTGCAAATCAGTGGGAAGGGTAAAGGTGGGCCAGGTGAATTGGATGTCTTAAAGGCACAAGTAACTACTCCTGCTGCAGTTGAGGAAATCTCAGTAGCATGATATGAGCTATCCTAATTTCACAATTTTGGCTGAAAGCCTAACATCTTTTAGAAGTGATAAGAAAGTGGCAGCTGGATGTGACAAAGCAATGCATGGCATATGGGAACACAGGAAACACAGAGTAAATCATAAGTTACAGAGTATAGAAAAAACAAATATTGCACAGTTGACAATAAGAAGTGTGTGTATCTATGTAAACATAAAGGAAATGTATACAAGGAAAAAGTAAACTTGTAATAAAAATCTAAGCTCATTACTTCATACATATACCAGAATGATTGCTAATAATGCAGCCAAGGAATACTAATAAAACACATCGATTCTGCGCTAAAAAAGAAGAAACACAAGTTCTATTAACAAATTTGACAAACTGGTTTGTGACACATGATCATTAAATCATATAAATTAAGATTAAACAGAGATAATTTTTACCAGTTTGTTCTAAAAGTGTAATGTAGAAAGATTCCTGTCCATTTAGCGTTCATCTATTTTAAGTCTTGGGATACTGGAGAAATGCAGACCTGGAAGAAATTGAATGTAGTGCAAATTTTCAAGAGTTACAAGAAAGATATAGCAGGGTGCTAGGAGATTGGTTTCTCTGGTACCAGTGGAATATTGTACATCATGTTTTTAAATGAAAATCCATTACCATTATATTACTACTCTTGGTTCTCTTGGTATTCCTCAAAAACAGGATTGCAGTTGTACATGCTAAATATACCACCATCCCCAAAATAGTTAATAGCAATGCCTATTTTAAGTCAATAGCTAGTTTCAAATTGCATACATTCTTTCCATTTATGCTTTGTATGTTTTATGTAACATATGTTAATATATGCATGTTTATATGAAATACAAGTTTCAGCATGTAAAGCAATTGTACACTGCAAACTTCACCACACATAGAAGTTTTTTTTTCCCAAAAAAGACTATAGATGCATAATGAGTTAGCCTTAGGATAGTTATTAACTAGTACGATTAGCTGTCTGGACAGGAGAAGGTCCCGCCCATCCAGATTCCATATGTGTGTGTGCGTGCATGTGTGTATGAAAACACTTGGGGTGAACAGGAGTAAAAATAATGTCTCAAACCGTTTCCATGAAGGCAAAAGTAAGGACATACATTGCTTGCGTAAGGGCTAGATGTGTAGCTGTAGAATTGGGTAAACAGCTTAAGTTCAGAGCTGGTAAATAAAAGGACAGAGAAGCTGCCTGGTGCTGATCTTAATAGAGGCAGACCTAATTGTGCATATTTTTTCACTTCTGTAAATTTATTTATTTAAAGCTTCATGAAATTATCATATTTGAAAAATGAACATAAACTTTTCTCTAATTTCCTTATTTTAGGTACGCAGGTGATGCCAGTGTACTGCCCAAAGCAAAGTGAACAGTTCCTATGAGTGCATTGATCTTGCAAACCAGGGTAGTGGAGCTCTCATTCAGTGACAAGTGTGCAATAGGATTGTAAAGGATGTCAAAACAATTACAGGGTGTTCCACCAGGAAGGTGAATTCCACCAGGAAGGTGAATGCTTAGTAAACTGGTGATGCAATGCAACTGCATGGAAAAACTTTCTGGGATCAGTATTAGCCAGTTTCTCTGTAAGGTAATGAGCAGCTTTGGTAAACCCTGAGCTACCTTCTGGGAGACATTAAATAGGGAAGACCAGTTTTGTTTTGTGAGAAGAAACTGACTTTGTTCTGTGTGGCAACTCTATAGATTTTTGCTCAAAGATAATGAGACATTTTTATGCAAAAATGGAAAAAAAAAAAAGAACAACATGTAATAATGAGGCTAAAAATCTGTAAGCCAATTTCAGAATTAGTTCTCAATGAAAAAAAAAACCAACGTATTTTTCTTCTTTTTCCTGAGGAGTTTTAATGAGTTTACTAGCCTCAAACTCTTTTCAACATTTTCATGAGTGATTTGGAAATAAGCATGACATTCTGAAATCCTGATCAGATTTGCAGTAGAACAAAAATTGATAGGGCACTGAGTAGTACTGAGTACAGGTAATCGGACAGAGCAATGTGTCCTGCCTGATAAATTGGCCTGATTAACCACAGCTAATTCTAATGCACTAAAGTATGTAGTTATGAGTAAAGGAATTATAAATGCATGCTACAATTTACTCCCTCTTATGAAAGGGAAGTCTGTAGTTTGGAAAACAGTAATTCATCAGCTTATAGAAGATAACTCAGCAGAAGTCTCTCAGCAGAAGTCTCTAGTGGCAAACAAGGACAACTGTATTCAATATATATAATCAAGAAAGTCATTTGTAAGTAAGAATATAGAAATAACAAGGCAATGTTCACCTCAGTATGTAATGTTAGTGGAAAGGTACTGGAATGTGCATTTGACAATGAAGAGTTGGAAGGAGTGCAAGTACAAACTATGGTTGGATAAAACAAATAAAGAGTTTTTATAGTGAGGACTTGAAAGGCTGAATCTACTGGTTTGATGAAAAGCTTGTGATATAACCTGGACACATTTTATAAACTCAACCCTAATGAAAATAACGGTGGTTATGCAATGGCTTTTAAGTTACTAGAAAAAAATTTAACAAGAACTGGTTAAACTAAATGAGGCTAAAAACAAGTTGTATACTTTTTGTTGGAAGATAATCACCGATTAGAATATAGTTCCACGAGATGTGATTTCATCATTCCTGACGTCTTTAAAAAGAAGTGGGGTCATTTTCCTCCACGAGAGACCTTGGTCAGCCAGAGGACTAACACTGACGTAACTGCATGAAAAGTAAAACAAAATGATCTGATGGTATTTTCAGCTTTTATTAGTCTGCAGGAAGAAATAAGACAAATGATTTAGCACATATACTGTTTTACTTTGTTATTCCACAGCATAGTAGGAGATAGCTGGAGCTAAACAATTGGAAAGCTCTAAAGAGCTATTAAATGAATTGTTTGGATAGATGCAAGCTGATATGCCCTAATCAAAACTTGAAAAATGTCCTCAGAATTTTGCTAAAGACTTATAATTACGAAGTTGCAAATAAGGAATGCAAACAGGAAGGATCCAAACAACCTGACTATTTCTCCACACTTACCTTTAAACTTGGGAGCTTTAGACTTTCCAAACCTCTCCTGAAGCCTTCCAGTCTTATCTACTGCAGCCAACTACTACTGCTCCCTGCTGAGCCTCCTGTTTTCGATTCATGTGTGAAAGGCGTAAGGCCTCCTCTAGCCATGTTGACATGAGGTGGGCCCTAATGACCCTTGTTTAAAGAGCTCGAAGTCTTCTATGCATGTTACTGGCTCAGTGCATCTGTTGTGCTATGCAGATAAAATTCCAAGAAATTGCTGAAGGGCAATGAAATGCTTGGTGACAGACCCTGTGCTGACTAAAGACTGAAGAGTTTCACTCCAGAGGAACAAGTGCAAATCAAAGAGCTGAGAGCTTGAAACATCCAAAACCCACAAAAGTATCTTCTGAGGATTTACTTGGACAAACCACATCGCTGGCGGTACAGCCTTTCAGCAGTACCAAAATAGAAGTGTCTATCCAGGGAGGTCCCTTACAGTAACAAGGCAGCACTTCGTGATACTTTACCCACCCGCTGACACTCCTTCTCCCTTGTATTTCAGAGTAGGGAGCTACACACAGCTCTTTTGTCCTTGACTGATATGTCATTACAGAAATACTGAATCCAGCTCCCTCTTCCAGACTTTTGATGCTATTTAAAGCTGTAGAGTGACGTGACTTAGCCAAGCATACTGCATATATATCTTCTCATTTGGAAAGTAAAGACAAAAACCTGCATGTGAGCCTTGAAATGTGGAAGCAGGACAATCAGGCCAGCCCTAAAGCACTCCCCACTACAAAAAACCTTTCTG